TCTTGCAGGTTGGAACAAAGGAAAATGGTTAAGATTTGCTGTATAGGAGCTGGATATGTTGGAGGGCCCACCATGGCTGTCATAGCACTCAAATGCCCTTCTATTGAAGTGGTTGTTGTTGATATTTCTGTGCCTCGTATCACAGCCTGGAACAGTGATACACTCCCCATATATGAGCCAGGCCTCTATGACATAGTCAAGGAGTGCCGAGGTAGGAACCTCTTCTTCAGCACAGATGTGGAGAAACATGTGCGGGAGGCTGATATCGTTTTTGTTTCTGTTAACACTCCTACCAAGACAAGGGGTCTCGGAGCAGGCAAGGCTGCAGATCTAACTTATTGGGAGAGTGCAGCCCGCATGATAGCAGATGTCTCAAAATCTGATAAGATAGTTGTTGAGAAATCAACTGTTCCTGTCAAAACTGCCGAGGCAATTGAAAAGATTTTGACCCACAACAGCAAGGGCATCAACTTCCAGATCCTCTCAAACCCTGAGTTTCTTGCGGAAGGGACGGCTATCGAAGACCTTTTTAAACCTGACAGGGTCCTAATCGGAGGTCGGGAAACTCCAGGCGGGCAGAAGGCTATCCAAGCTTTGAAGGATGTTTATTCCCAATGGGTCCCTGAAGAGCGCATCCTCACCACCAATTTGTGGTCAGCTGAGCTCTCAAAATTGGCTGCCAATGCATTTTTGGCGCAAAGAATCTCTTCTGTGAATGCCATGTCAGCTCTTTGTGAGGCTACTGGAGCAAATGTCTCACAGGTGGCATATGCTGTTGGAAAGGACTCGAGGATCGGTCCCAAGTTCCTTAATTCCAGTGTTGGTTTTGGTGGTTCTTGCTTCCAGAAGGATATTCTGAATCTGGTTTACATTTGTGAGTGCAATGGTCTTCCGGAGGTAGCTGAATACTGGAAGCAGGTTATCAAGATCAATGACTATCAGAAGAATCGTTTTGTCAACCGCGTTGTTGCCTCCATGTTCAACACAGTATCAGGCAAGAAAGTCGCCATTCTAGGTTTTGCTTTCAAGAAGGATACTGGTGATACTCGAGAGACCCCTGCAATTGATGTTTGCAAGGGACTGCTGGGGGACAAGGCTAATTTGAGCATATATGACCCTCAAGTGAATGAGGACCAAATTCAGAGAGACCTCTCAATGAAAAAGTTTGATTGGGATCATCCTCTTCACCTTCAGCCAATGAGTCCAACAACCGTGAAACAAGTCAGCGTTGTTTGGGATGCCTATACAGCAACTAAGGATGCCCATGCTGTATGCATCCTTACAGAGTGGGATGAATTTAAGTCTCTCGATTATAAGAAGATATATGACAGCATGCAAAAACCTGCTTTTATTTTTGATGGTAGGAACGTTGTGGAGGCAGACAAGCTTAGAGAGATCGGGTTTATAGTCTACTCGATTGGTAAGCCTCTGGATGCTTGGCTCAAGGACATGCCAGCTATTGCTTAATTGCTTTACCTGGCTCGACGAGTGGCTTGTTCACAAATCAAAGATATTACTTATATGATGCAGTCAGCTGAGATTCTTACTTTTTTTTTTTTTTACGACGTTCAGTTTTCTGTTTTGTTTTATCCCACTTAGGCTGAAGGACCATTCATGGTCACTACCAGACTCTTAATGTTTAATGTTTCTTTTGTATTGATGGTACCACCTTTGTCATTTACTTGTCTTTGTCAGAGGATTTTGTTTGTTCGATTAAAAAATCTTGCTACCAAACATTTTGGGACAAGTTATAATATATGATATTCATAAGTAGTGAGAAAAGAAGAGAAATCTTGAATAATGTCCCGACAGAGAAATATGTGCTATGCATTTTTCTGAAAGAAAAAGAAGAAATTTGGATAGCAGGTTTTAAATGAGGACGCTAACCCATTCTTACATAGCGCATATTGGTTTAGAACTCAACCAAACGTCTTTCACTCTCGGTTCATTTTTACTTTTCACTGTTTGACTAAACATACCTCAATAAGAAAATAATTATTGATATAAGTATTTTACCACATTAATTCTACTAATTACTCCCTCTATCCCTATTTACTTGTCAATTTTTTATTTGACACACTTATTAAGAAAATACTCCCTCCGTCCCTATTTAGTTGTCCACTTTAGAAATGACACACATATTAAGGCAATAATGATTAGCATAGTGAAGTTACAATTTTGCCCTTATTAATTATGATTCCAAAATAAATTTATTCAAGATAACTAATCAATGTTGGGGGAAGTTTAAATTTTCAAGAAGTTTAACTAAGGGTATAATAGGAATTTTTTTTTTGTCCTTTCTTGATTTGTCAAAATGGACAAGTAAATAGGGACGGAGGGAGTAATAATTGACATAATGACTTTACTATTTTACCCATATTAAAATCAATTTACTCATTAAAGAGGTTCTACCTTTTTCAAAAAACAGTAACTCTCTAAATAAATTGAGGGTATAATAGGTAAAAAATAATGTCTTTTCTTGATTTGTCAAAAATGACAAGTAAAAAATCAAAATTGGACTAGTAAAAAGAAACAGAAGGAGTAATGTTTAGTATTGAGTCTTGAAAAATGATATGGAGAATAATATTTAATGCTAAGGGTAAAACATGATAAAAAAAATACCTGTCTTTTCTTATTCTTAGTATATTAAAAGTGACAAAAAAAACTAAAACTCTATTTTAAGAATAAGCGACAAGTAAAAGGGAATGAATGAAATATTATTTTTCAATTAGTTGAATAATAGATGCAATGATTCACTTTATAGGTGAGGTTTCTAATTTACCTTCAAAATATAGCTTAATTACACCTGAAAAAAATAAATGAAAGGAACATTTGGAGTCAAGTAATTGTTTATAAAAAACACAGAATCATAAGACCATATATAGAAGTAATGTCTGGCCAATATGTAAAGGTCAAGAAAGTTGGAGGGGGGGGGGGGGGGGGGGTGATCTGCTCAAGTAGACCTTTAACTTGATCTCATTTCACATTTGGCTAGCTTGTGTGCCTATTATAACTCATGAACAATTAAAGGAGTATATACAAATTTGACTGACAAGACTTGTGAATATTTAAAAGGGATTTTTTTTCAAAACAAAAAATATTTAGCTGGATAATAACAAAATGATAGGGGAGGAGAGAAGCGAGTGAGATATGGGAGAGAGTGTATTTTTTGCTGATTTTGGAGAGAAAAAAATACATATACAAATTGATTTGTATCAAAATGATACATATTAAGAGGAGAGAGGCGAGCGAAATTGAGAGAGTGAGGAGAGAGGTGAGCGAGATAGAGGGAGGAGAGAGGCGAGCGAGATCGAGAGAGGGAGGAGAGAGGATTGCATTTTGTATTTATTTTGCATTGTATTTTATATTTGTTTTGTATCAATTGTATTCAAATTACAACAAATTGTATTTTGTATTGTTTCATGTATTTATTTTGTATCAATTATATTCGAAATACAACGAATACAACGGTATTCATCCTCTGTTTGATTGGATACAAATACATTCGACAGAGATGATGAATGCATATTGTATTCGTATGAATACAAATACAATTGATGCAAAATATAGTTTTTCTAATACAATTAAAATAAAATACAAAACTCTCACCTATATTAGATTGAATATAATTGATGCATAATAAATTTGAATGTATTTCTTCTTATTAACAAGAGAGAGGGGGGAGATAAAGGAGAGGGCAGGAGAGAGCAAGAAAGAAGGAGGAGAGGCAAGGGATAGAGGGGAGAGAGAGAGAGCGAGCCAGAGAGAGGAGAGGGCAAGAGAGAAGGAGGAGAGGCAAGGGAGAGAGGGGAAGTGTTTGCTATAAAAACAACATTTTTTTTTTGTAATATCTTGAAATTATAGCTAATTTTTCATAAATAAGTTGCTAATTTTGAATAGTTTGATAATTCTTCCTATTTAAAAAGATAAAAGAACCACAACTATATTAAAATTAAGACACACTTATCGTAATTTGTTGAACCCTAATTTTTCAGTCTTCTGCATGTGTAGTGTCTATATCATTTTTTGGATAAATTCCTTAAATAGAGACAAAATTATAACGATCGCCATAATTCGGGTGATTTGTACAAAAAGAATATAATATGATACACATTTAAATTTATATCCTCGTTATTCATGTTTTTGTAACAATACACTTTTAAGTTTAATGAGAAAAAACAAACAAAACCCTTAAAGTTAGCTCATAAACAAAGACAAAATTAAACAACGACTATTAAATGATCTTATTTTGGATATTTTTACAAAAATGATAAAATCTGATATGTATTTAAATATTATCCCCACTTTTTATATTTATGTAACAATGCACTTTTAAGTTTAGAGAAAAAAATCAAACAAACCATTAAAGTCAGCTCATAAACCACGTTGTCATATTTAAATTTTCATTCATGGTAGAGGAATATACTTCAAAATAATAGCATGCACATCGTAATAAATCAATAGAATAACTCATAAACTCTATTAAATTATCATAGTTTTAAGTTCACACATAATATTTCCCTTTTATGATTCCGAAGGTATAATAGAAAGTTTTTTTTTCCAAAACAATAACACATAAATCATACGGTAATAGTTATTTAAATCTTGATAAATTGATAGAATAACTGATAAACTCTATTATAATATTATAATTTTAAGTTTTCGCTCATAATATCTCTCTTTTATGATCTCGAAAGTATATAAAAAAAAGAAAAATATTTCAAAACGATAACATATAAATCATAATAAATAACATACAAATCATGATAAATTGATAGAATAACTCATAAACTCTATTATATTACCATAATTTTAAGTTCTCACTCATAATATCTCTCTTTAATGATCTCAAAAGTTTTTTAAAAGTTAATTTAAAAAAAATACAAAATGATGACATATAAATCAGATAATAAAAATAAAATCTCATTTTAATTTCTAACTCATAAAAGTTGAAACGTAATAATGAAAGAGTAAAATGCTCAAGTGCAATGTTAATAAAACAAAACCAAAAGAAAAAAGAAACCAACCTATTTTGGCTGTTTCCTATTTGTGTCAATAACACAATGAATTTAACAACAAATACATAACTTCAGCCAAATTCTCTGTGAACTCCATTGATGAAGCTCTCTATTTCTCTCAACATCTACAGCTGAATTGAGCTCACAATTCAATGGAGTACAACTACAATTCATGGGCCGGAGTACCGCCAAACCCAGCCTTGTACCCTAACCCTTCACCACCGGTGATGACAAACTCCGATCAATCTGTGCCTCAAAACCCTAACCCTAGTTCATATGCACTTGGTTATGGTGGAGGACACGAATTCCAAGGAAAGTGTTTGGTCTATCGTTATGGACAGATCGATGGTGCTACTAGCTCTGTGGAAGCAACGCAGGTGTATTATCAGGATCCGAATGTGGTGCGACTTTTGGGATCAAATGGCCCTTTCAGGACTGGTGAGGTCAGTTGTAAACACTTCTGTTGTTAATTATCTGTTGTCAATTGAGCATCCTTGAATATCAGCAATTTCGATATACATGTTCCATATAGGATATGTTAATTGGATTGATGTGTTGTATTAGTTGTGATGAAGTGACATATGAATGTTTGAAATATAAATAGTTAAGCCCACGTCTGATTAGCTTGTTGGTGAGGCAATAGCTTACCAAGGCGATGATCAGTAGCAGGTCTAAGTCCGAGAGGATGATCAGTCACACTGGGACTGGGACTGAGACACGGACTATAATATTCCCCATGGGGTTGGTCTAGGAGTCTGATGAGTTGATGTACAACCTCGGGAATCTAGGTTTGAGTTTTCAGCAAAGGTGACATTAGGTGGATTTTCTTGTATTCCTATGTCTTGATGGATAGAGTTATCCTGTAGATAGGGGTGGAGCTAGAGGGGTGGAAGGGGGTTCGTTTGCTGTGGAAGTTACCTTGTATATACAAGGTCAATTATTATTTTCCTGTTATGTATACATGGGTCATTCGCTGCAGTGTAGCTCAAACATTTCTTTTGTTGGGAGGGATATAATTTGAGTTTTTATCAGTTGCTAAACTCATATGAATAATATTGTTAATGGATTGATACTAAACATTGTGGGGCGTCATGAAATGGAAAATTTGGAACATATAAATTGAAATAAAGAGGGAGTAATTTTGGTGTCTTTCAAGTATTACCAACAGTATCCTTTGGCCTGTTTCATTCTAATTATGGAGGGATTATATGATTTTGGTGTCATTTAATAATAACATTTTTCAAATGATTGTAAAATTCGTTAATGTTTTCTTTTGTTTCATAGAGTATTCAAATTCATATCCCAAAGAAGGGATGAATGCCTACATAATGTAGCCAGATCCATAACTACTGCAGCGTCTCATTTCTCCCGCTTCCTTCTGATTCCTATACACGAGTATGGATGGTAATATTATTGTGATGAAGAACTATCTACATTTTGTGAGTTGATTTTGGTGGAAATTCGAGAAGGTTTAAAGAAAAGAATTTGGATTTTAAGTAAGAAACAAGAACGCTAAATACCTAGATAGCGCCTTAAACGTGGCACATTTTGTAATATAAACTTATGAAGTTACCAGTCAGACACTTTTAACTTGACATGAATAGGCCATATAAGCACCTCATGCTGACATGGAAAATCATGTGTTTTATACTCGTATCTAGGCGCGTGAGAAAGCCTTAGATTACGTATTTTTGCTTTTTATGTTTAAATGTTTCCTTTATTGAAAATGATTCGCCCATCAAAGTTAAATTCGAGACCCATCGCTAAAGTCTAATTGACATTGAGCCTTCTCTCCTCAGTGTTCGTGGTTCTGTATCTTATTCTTATTCCTATTAGAAGCAATATCTTATCTGTAGTTGTTGATGGTACTTAATTGCTTATTTAAAAAAGAGAAGACACTAAAGAAAAAGAGAGATGGGAGCAAGGGTTGAGGGGAAAGGGAGACAACGAAGCTGGGTCTGCAGAGAAGAAATGAGAGAGGGCTACAGGTGGAGGAGGGAGGAGTGGGGATTGAGGAAGAAAGGGAGAAATCAATGGGGGATAGCTGTAGGGTGCAGATGAAAAAGAATGAGCGGGCTAGTTGGGACGTAGTCTTGTGGGGGAGGGGGGTTGTTTTTTAATTATTTTTTTCCTATTTTTGACATGTGTCCTTTTTTCATTCGTTATTTGATACATCACCAACAAATGTTTTTCACGCACTTGGTTCTGATGAACTATGTGTTTAGAAGACACATTGTTATCAAGTGTCTAATTGGTCACTCTGTAAGCTTATAAGGCTAACATGACAAGTTTAAGGGGGTTATCTAGGTAGCAAGTCAAACAAGAAAGAGAAAAAATAAGGGCAAGTGATACAAGGGCTACTTCAAAACTATCCATAATGTCTCAGTTTATATGACTTTTATCGAAAGTGAGTCATCAAATCATCCAAAAGTCTCGTCTAAGCTCTTATATTTGTTTCAGTTGCAACCAAATATTTAACATCTATCTTGGTGTTTCAAAACCATTTGTGTTACATGCAATAAACAAAGTGGTAAATTAAGGAATTTCTCTTACCGAGAAGGTGGTTCCAACTGTTAAATCCAACAATCTCTCTGTATGCAACTAAACAGCAACAACTGATAAGAAAAGGGGGAGGTGGGAAACAATAATAAAGATTACTTTTCATGGAATCAGATTGTATTTATACATGTAGGGACTGAGGTTCAGTGACCATAAAGTCAAATCCTGTAGAAGTCTTTTATCTTGGATCAATTGACATTTTTAAGGTTGGTTTTCCTGATTGAGGCGGTCCATGATAGTGTTGATGCTTTGCTAGTTTGACTTATTTTTTACTTCTATTTATTTTGTAAGAAAGATGAGGATATGAAATGAGCTGAAGTGGGGATTCATATAGCCGACCCCAACTTGTTTGGGACTGAGACGTTGTTGTTGTACTGTTGATGATAGGTTGGTGTTCATGATTAGATGCTTAAAAATGTTGCTAAATTTATAACATTTGATGATAAGTTATGCACCCGTCATCATTTAAGGGCCAAAGCTGGATCCCGTTAGTAAAAGACCTACCTCCTCATGCTGTTTTTGTTCTGCAATTATTGACCATGTGGTTGTGTTAGATGATAATCTTTCGTGGGATTGACATCTCACTTGAAGTTTGTTCATTTCCTGCAGTAAATATTTCTTACAAACATCTCACCCACATACTAAATCTGGCACTTCTATTTTCCTGCTTCGTCTTAACTCTTTTCACATATTTATATTTTAAAATGGTTTCAGCATTCTATAATAGCTATAACTTCTCTTCTATTTAAAAAGAATGTAAGCCGAGTACTTTATCTACAGATAGCTGCAGTGTCCCTAAATGGTGCAGAGAATTTGACTCCTGCAAATGTAAATCCCAATTTTTTTTTTCAACCTCCGAGAAGTGGGTCTTGGGGAGGAGGCCAAAGGAAAATTAAGATACAGCCTGTATGGTGTCATGTTTGCAAAATTGAATTTACCAGCCAAACTGTTCTTGATCAACATATATTAGGCAAAAAACACAAAAAAAGTTTGGATAACTTAAAAGGAGGCAGTGTAATCACAGCTTCTACTTCTGCAGCGTCAGAGAACCCATTTGTTGGACTGCACGAGGAGCCCAACAAGGTGAATTCAGCAAATGGACGAGATTCAGTGAATAAGGCCGTTAAAGTGATTGAGAATTTGGAGACAAAAAAACGTAAGGTTTTGGAAGGAGGAGCAGCCACAGACGACGTCCGTATTTGTCTTCCTTGCAATGTGGTTTGCAACAGTGAGTCTGTTTTCAGAACTCATCTAATTGGCAAAAAGCACATTGCTAACATAACAAAGCAACAGAAATCTGTCCCTGCTTCTGCATCTCTTGTTCCTTTGGAGGTGTCAGTTAGCACATTTATTGGACCACAAGAGAAACCTGGCATAGTAAATTCTGGAGATGGGCAAGATCCAATGAAGAAGGCAGCTGAGCTGAGTGAGAAATTGGAGACCAAGACACAAAAGGTTTTGGAAGGAGGAGCAGCTGCAAATGACGTCCGTCAGTGTCTTGTATGCAAGGTGGTTTGCAACAGTGAGACTGTTTTCAGTCATCATGTCACTGGTAAAAAGCACATTGCTAACATGAAAAGGCAAGCATCTGGAGTAACCCCCGCCAGTTAGAATGGGAATTGCGATGGAGATTTAGAGGAGATGATGCTCGTTCTCATTTCATTTTCTCCGATTTCTTACAGTCGATATGAATAGTTTACTGTACATTACATTATATGCAACATGTTTGATAGTAGTCGCATTTGCTTTTATCAAAGCAAGTGGACAGTGATTTGGCAATTAGAGCTGATTAAAGCCAGAACATGAAGACCTAGTGTTTTTTTCAGCTATAGTTTATAAAGAAGTGTTTAAAGTTTTAGTACTTAACCTCTATATGCCCTGTTAGTCTTGATTTCTTTTTTATGACATGGAAAACCCGCAATCGCTACATTTGGGTGCGTACAGGGTAAAATCTCAGTATGATGAGCTCGACCCAAAAAGCAAGCAAACCCTTTGTTGTCACTAGCAAAAGTTTCGAACTTGAAACCTCCAACATGGAAGTCCCAAGCCCAAACCATTGGGTCACCCTGAAGGAAAATAGAACAATTTGATTTTGGATTCGCCCCATCATACATTTTATTAAGAGTATGTACGTGCTCTGTTTTAATTTATGTAATATCGTTTGGTCAAACATAAAATTTAATCAAGTTTTTTTTCCAAAAAAAAATAATCATAGTTTATAATAATTTTAAATATCTATGTGGTTATAAGTTATTTTATTAAAAATAGAATACAATTTATAAAATAAAATCATTTTAAATATAAAAAGTAACACTCTTTTTTTTAAATAAATCAAAAGAAAAAATGTATTACATTAATTAGAACAGTGATGAGTGTATATGAATAGCTCACCTTGGGTTAAAATTTCTGTCGGTCAGTGAATTGGTTAGTCAATTTATTAATTTAATGAATGCGCGGAAAGTCTTTTCGAAAGAGAAAAACGTCACATGCTGCCAGAATTTTATGAAAAATAAAAACAAAAAACAATGAAATTTACTTGTATAATTCGTATTATATACTACTATTATGTATATATAATGATTATTTGTTTCAATAGAGTAGTTTTTTGGACTAAATTTGTGAATGTATTTTTGCAAAACTTTGCTGAACTGATCCAAAAAGAAAATCTAAAAGTTAATGATTTTTAAAAAAAGAAAAAACAGTGCCACTTGAATAAAAAATTTATGTGACATGTAAGTATATCTTACTCTCTTATGCTACTAGAGCCGTCAATATGGGCAAGGCCCATTGGGCCAATCTGGCTTAACTGGGGATTTGATAAGGTTAGGCTACGACTTTTGGAGCCCATTTAAGAAAAAAACTTTTTAGCTCGGCCTGAATAAGCCTGCTGATTTGTGGGGCTTGAGAAATATGGATAAGGCCGGCCGTGGGCCATAAAAATAAAATAGAGTATTAAAAATAACAAGAGTCTAAACTCAAAATCAGTTTAAAGTTTGAAATATTACAATTTAAATATAAATTATGTTTATAAAATATGTATTACGTAAAATAAAAATTCCCTAAATTTTTAGGAATCACTACATAGGCCGTAGCCTATGAAATATTATGATCATTTTTGTGTTTTATTATGATCATTTAAAAACAATTAGGTTTAAATTTTTATTTAGCTATTTATACTTTTACTTGAAATCAAACTTAATAAATATTATAAAGATAATTTTATTTGTGGATTTGATTAACAAGTAATACCACTAACACCATGTAATATTATCTTGTCGATATTTATGATAATATTTTTAAATATATTTTTACGAAAAGAGGGCTGGCCCGGCAAGCCCGTAGCCCATGTACTTGTGGGATGAGCCGACCATTTTCTGCCCCACACCAAAAATGGGCTAGCTCGACTTGACCCGTCAAATTTCAAAGCCTGTATGAGTTAGTCTGGATGGGGTGGGCCAACCCATATTGACAGTTCTAGCTGCAATCGTACATAAGTAAAAAATCATCCAATATTCAAGTTTAAAGAAATAATTAAGATTGCTGATAATTTAAAAGAAATACATGTAAAACATATTAATTTGAAAAATATTTAGTATTTTTATCAAAATAATATAAATTCTTTGATTTGTGGATAGGCGAATTAATGAAATTGCCTAAAAATGTGTAAATAATGCCTAATGCATCGTGCCTTACACGACTAATTCTTATTGAACACAACAAGAATCGTAAAAAAACAAAATATCAAAGTCAAATTCTGATTAAATTAATCTTAATGAGAGTTTGTTTAGCAGAAGAAGTTAATCTTTATTTGTATTTTTTTTTTCTAAAATCTTTTGAACCATATTTCATTTGATTTTAGTAAAATTGAGTCATCAGTGCATTACAAACTTATGTATACATACATTAACTCTTATTTTAAACCTACCAAATCTTTTTAATAGGTAATTATACCCATTAAAAAAATAAAAAAGAATGTGTTACAAGATTGTAATTGTATGAAATAATTAGCAAAATTATTATAATATCCGGCCTAGTGGCTAGTTAGTAGCAATATTTTGTTAAAAATAAAAGTTTTCAATGATACACCAAAGTATATATATTTTACTTTAATAATACAATTTAAAAAACTTACTGTGGTATATCAACTAATCAAAAGCATAAAAGTTGTCAATTTCGCTTACATTGTATTAAAATTTAAACCTTCTTTTTACTTTCAGAAATTTCACTAGTTTAAGAGCTAATTATTTAAATGCAAGCTAGTTTATATATCTTACTAGATTTTAGACTTCTGATACATATATCTGGCGCGTCCCAGATACGTTTAAATACATGTATCTCGAATACATAGGGTCAAAATTATTTGAAATTTATTCTAGATACATTGTATCTAAATAGATTCACATGTATCTGACTCTCTTGCTCACCTCTTTTCTATCTCGCTCGCCTCCCTCCTATCTCATTTGTTTCTCTCTCTCGCCTCCCTCCTAACTTGTTCGTTTCTGTCGCTCGCCTCCCTCCTATCATATTCGTCTCTCTCCTTCTGCCGCTCACCTATCTCCATGTTTTAGTGTATCTGATAGTAAAAATATATGTATCTAGATGTATTTGACTTTAAATATGATATGAAATTACTACTTAGTGGGACAATATGTAATAATTTCAAACTGTAGGGAGAAATAATAAATATGGTGGGAATGTTTGTCTAATTAAGTATTTTTTTTCCTTTTATTTATTATACTCTCCGTCTCATTTTATGTTGCGCTATTTGACTTGACATGGTATGTATTTAAGAAAAGAACAAAAACTTTTGAAACTTGTGGTCTAAAATAATCCTTACATATTTGTGATATTTGTGTGGTTGTAAACATTTTATTAAGAATAAAATAAAATTTTAAAATTAAATTATTTCTAACTATAATAAAAGTGACTTTTTTTTTAGACGGATTAAAAAAAATGAGCGCCACACAGAATGAAGCAGAGAGAATACCAAATACTAGAAAACTTTCATTTTTCATTTCGTGTTAAACTATATTGTATACTATTTAAAAAAACATCAATTAGCGAAATCAATCATTCTCTTTCTTTTACATAAGGTCTAGGGAAAGAAATGACGAGGTGTGGAATCGAGAGAATAAAAGAGTAAGAAAATTTAAATAGTCAATTTAATCGGTTGACTTTTATTTATCTATTATTTTAAAAATAAATTTTTATTTTTATTTGTCATTATTAATATATAAAAATAGTAATTATTTTTTGATAATTTACTTGTAACATTAATTACCTATTTTTATATGCGAAATGATTTTTTCTCCTTGAAAATATCTGTCATAATTTTGAGATTTAGGAATAACTCTCTCTCTTCCAAGTTCCCACATGCTTTTTTTTTTTGGTTATGTCATATAAGTTTTCTTATAATAATAAATAGATTAAAAAATTTGTTATTAAAACTTAATATTTTTTCCCCCTAAAATAGAGAAAGAATTATCCATAAAAATTAGAAAAAAAACACAGAATAACACAAAAATAGGCCATTAACCATCCCATCTTCCCCTTTTTTTCTCTTTCTGTATTCCATTCTTCTGATCTCAAGAAAAAAATTAGCTCATTTCAGCTCAAGAACAAATTCCCACCTCCGATTTTGTTCGGATTTATTCATCAGATTCAAATTTTTGTTATTTGGGGTTGATTAATTCATTCGTTTCATACAGAGATTATTTTTTCAATTTTTTTTTGCACACACAGATGTGTGTGTGTTTATGAAGAAATTGATATAGAAGGTTGTAGACGTTTCGGTTTATTATAGAAGCCATAGCTCGGTTTGGGTTTTTGGGAGGAGGCGAGAGAATCCAATACATTGGTCTCGAAAGGGACCGTTAACGGTAAGATCCTCAAAATTTCTGTTTTGGTGGATCTGATGGTGAAAAGAGCGAATTTGGACGGTTTAAGCATTACCCAGAATTGGAAAAGAGGTTAAGAATCTTCAAATTGGTATTGTGGTGGATCTGGTGGTGAAAAAGAGCATTTCTTGATTGTTTTAAGATTGCCCCACTGCGTAGAATCAAGGGAGAGATAGTGGGTGCTGTCCCTTATTTTAGGTAGCTTTTTGTTTAGCTTCGTTTGGAGTTGCGGTGAATTGGGGATAGGGGTGGTGATTGGATTAGAGAAGTTAGTTGGGGTGGAGAAGGGAGGAAGATGCAGCTGCACTTCTCACCTAGCATGAGAAGTATAACAATATCAAATAGCAATGGAGGGCTAGGTGATTTGATGAAGATCAAGGTCGCATCTCGCCAATTCTCTTACCGAAAACTCTTTCACACCATACTCTTCCTCGCTTTCTTGCTGCCATTTATCTTCATTCTCACTGCTCTTGTTACCCTTGAAGGTGTCAACAAATGCTCCTCATTTGGTACTTAATCTTTTTCCCTCCATTTACCTTTATTGCATTGTTAGCTAGATCTTTAATATTTTTTCTCTGTTTTGTTTTCCTTTATTGTAATGTTAATTAGATCATGTTCTGCTTCTCCATTGTTGAAAATTGTTGCTTGAGGTGGAAACTTTCGTGTTTCATTATTATTAGGTAGCTTTTTATGTGTAGACTTGTAAATGCACCAGTTAAGCAACACTATGGTGATAGAGGGTACGTACCAAAAGGGACAAGATAGACCTAAAATTACATGAAGGGTAGTTGTCCAGAAAAGCTATAATCTCTAGCAACCAATGCAAAAGTAGCTAAAACTAGAACATAATGTAACTATGAAAGCAAATGATCCATATGGGTGATACCAATTAGTTGGGATTACGGTTTAGTTGCACTTACATTAAGTTTGGGTAGGAATTAGTGTGGGATTTAGAGAACCCATGATTTT